TGCAAGAAAAAAGTCTGACTGTGCTCTAATCACCATCATGTATCACTTCAGCCACGGAGTACCAGGCAGATTAAGTAGAAATGCACAGTTTTTAGCTCATCATCTCTGCAGAAGTGTTTGAGAGGCTCAGTTCCTGGAGAGTTCTGGGTGGGCACATAGACAGGCTCTTCATGCAGATTCACTGGCCTCTACTGGCTTAATCATGTGGTCTGGTTTGTTGCCAGCAGCATAGTGATCCCACATCTGAAGATAAAGCCGCTCCAGGTCCATTGTGTATTGTTTGGTGTTGAACAAAGGACTGGATATTCTCTGCTTCCAGACCTTGCCACGTATTTTTTTCAGGCTACAAAAAGAGTTAAAGCGGTCAGGAGAGGTGTCAAACACTTTGTAATACTGTTTACTTTTTGAAATCTGCTATCTCAGCCAATCCAGAACTGCCAAAACAACTGTTTCAAAAATATCTACTCCTCCCTTCCACCAAGTTCATGCGGATGGTACATCTCTTCATCATCGTTTCCGATACAGACCAGCATTAAAACTTACACTCCAACGGCCTAGACACATTACAGTTAACTCGTCGCACGTTATCTGACCTGCAGGAACATGATTTTAGCCTGTAGTAAATGGCAGACGGCCTAATCCTCAATTTAAAAAGAAAAAAGGCAAACTATGTTGCACTTCGATTTATCAGTTAAAATGCCTGCAAGTAAACAATTTCTGCAGAACAGGTAGCATGCAACAAGTTGCTGCTCCACGCAACTGAGAACACGGATGACAGTCTACCATGAATGCAGAAGCTGAGTTAGCTGCAAGGTAACTAGGTGATTCTCCTCTAGGGGTTTTTTAAAAAACTTAAGCATCTGCAAGATTAAAACTATTGACAGGTCTCACAATTGCGCCCAACAACAGCACTTTGCATTCTTGATGGTACCTTATTGCACAGTATAAGTTTACTTACTATTCTAGATCAGTTCCCAGTTTCACAGCAATATCCTCATATTCCTGCCTACTTTTTGCAATGAGCTCAAGACAACCAAGGCAAGTAAGTTGGGAGGCAGCAACTCGTGATGCAAGAGTCTCACCTGTAAACATAAGACGGGTAAGAGCAGCCAGCTTGTCAAGTAACACATGACTGATCGTGAAAAGTTAACCTTCTCTCCTCCTCCCCAAGAGGGCACAAAGTTTGTCAGGCTTGCTATTTAATTAAAAAAGATATTTAAACCCATCCACTCTATCTGGGTTCCCTGTTGCGTTACCTGGCATAGTGACCATAGGAGTCCCAGCCCAGAGCACATCCATCCCAGTTGTGTGCCCATTGCAAAGCGGAGTGTCTAGACAAACATCAGCCAATTGGCCTCTCCTCACGTGTTCCTCTTTGGGGGCAACAGGAGAAAAGATGATTCGGTTTTGGGAAAGACCCAAGTTTTGTGCGTATTGCTGAATATTGGGTTCCCCTACAGCTGGGAAACGTAATAGCCACAGCACGCTATTTGGAACTCTTTTTAGGATCTAAAACAAAACCAAGAAGCAGATACAGGAAGAGCTGTCAGAAACATTTCTTTTTCCGAGTAACAGAAAGACATTGTCACAAACCAAGAGGAAGCAAAAGGCATAATCATTCAATACTTCAGTTTTCTGAAGTAAAGGTCAAGGAAAAAAAAAAAAAAAACACCGCAGATCACAATTTGGAGTAGAATAATTAGCACTGGATTTCATCACTGAAAGAGCCAACAAACAAACAACATTTCACAGGGTACTTAGGAAGGCTTAAGTCTTGAAATTTAAGAGCTCATTTATTCATAGGCCAACACCGTGGAACACACAAAAAAAAAATTCCCTCAAGTAATTCTCAGCAACACACTACAACCTAGACCCAGAGGCAGATGCTCAGTGCTCAGATCTTATCAATGTACAACTGCCAGGAGTAGTTATAACCTAATTGGGCAGACTAGAGAAGATTGGACTTATTTCACAATGGAGTACGTGCATATTCAAACTGTCCAAAAGGTAATTTTCACTGACTAAAAGTACATACGTGATTTGAACTCAATCTAAAAGAAATCCTATATCCTATTAATACCAAGTCCCACAACATGAGCATCGTAACGATTCAATCGGCTCAGGGTCACTATATTTTCCACAAAACAATTAAGATGAAGTTTTCACTTGCAAGAAGTTTTTTGCTGACTTGAGAGAACATCTACGTTCCAGAGGTCCGACCTTAGATTTCTTACCAGATACACAGATACTCACATTAGCCCACATCTGTAAAGTGGAAGGGTCAATCTTATACAGCTGATTAAAGTTACAGTATACAACAGCATCTTCTGGCAATCCATACTGGGAACGGGTAGTAACAATGATAGTTCGTGGAACTTCTTCTCCGGTTGCTGCTTTGTTGTTAATCTAAGGAAAAAAAAGACAAAAAAAAAACCAAAAAAAAGGCTATTAGAACACTTTAGTTAGAAGAAGTAAGCCCTATGAGATTTTTCTGAGTCATGCTGTGATATTTGTTAGCATCACGGTCTCCCCTCCTCCCCTGGTCACCTCACTACCTCCTGACACCAAAACTGAAATCGAGACTTCAAGGAAGGAGTGCAGAACAAAAAGCACAGAACAGGGATGGAGTCAGTTAAGACTCAAGATGCAGACTAGTGAATGACAGACTGTAAGGAACTGGAATTATTAATGAACGTTCTGAAATGAACGATCTCATAAGCCCTCACAAAGAACAGGAATATGCATCAAAAAAAGAAAAAGCCACAGAGGACCAAGTTGGGAGAACTCATCAATACACAGAGAGAATCAGAATACCAGGCAAGAAGAGTTCACGGTCCTGAGTATTAGTGCGACAGAAGTATGATTTAAGGACACAATGCTGCAGTATAATTCTTTTTGTGCTAAACAGTGGAAGGATTAGTTGAAGGCAGAAGAAAATATGAGCACAGCTAGGGCAAGTTAGACACTTACAGCCTATATATTTGCATACACACACATTGTGTGTGTGCGCGCGCACACACAATCACGTAAGCTTAGCTCATTGCCACTGCTACCAGCCAATACAAGCATACTGTTGACAAGCCTGACATTAACGAAAACAACTCATTGTCACTAACTCTATTAGAACACAAGAGCCATTACATTTACATTAAACCTGTAAAAACAAGAGGACAAGATGTGCAAGATAAGCTGGTTTCAAGGGAAGTAGATAAAAGCGCTATGGATCCAAGTAACTGAGGAGACCTCAAACAAAACACACAGTTCCAGTCACGTATGGCCAACTGATAGCAAATTAGAAACAGTACAAAGAAGAATTCAACTAGTACGATCAAAAGATGGAAATCCTGTTTTACAAGGCCATAAATAGAACTTAGATTGTTTCTCTTGGTGGTGGAGATGCAAGACAGGAATTCTCCATTTTTCTCAGGGGACAGTAGTTTCAGAAAAAATACTAGTAATCTTACTATCAAATTAAGACAAAACCTAATACCAGCTTGTAGGAAAGTTTCAGCTGTGCACAAAATAACTCAAAAAGAAAGCAAGGCATGAGATTATGAACGGAGCAGAAGTAATAAAAGATCTCAAGTGAAGAAAAGAGTCTCTTATAGGTTCAAAGAGGGTTCAACAAACATCAGCTTAGAGCTGGCTTTTAAGGTGGAACTCAAACAGCAGAGCAGTTAACTTTCAAAATTCCATTAAAAAAAAAATTCAATTTTTTTTTAGTTTGACTTAGCTCTGATTAGCCAGGATGGAAGCAAGGCAGATTTTTATCAGAAATGCATGCTAGATGTCAGAATTGCAGCTGCATACGCAGATAAACATCTCCAGAGCACTCATATGACTGCACTAGGAAACCAATACTTCAGTCCTTCGCTACCAAGATGGTAAATCAAAGAAACAAGTCAAAAGAAGTTATGTAAATCTTGAAGTATGACATTTAATTGAAAACAAAAGCAAATTGCTCTACAAGGGTAGAGGTATTAAACAACTGTCGCTATCCCTAAAATCCCAGAAAATGAAATCACAGACAGGTGGTTGTATAGAGCGTATCTCAGAAAGAAATAAAGCGCTGAATAAGCATTGCTGAAATACAGCACAGTAACTGTCACTGTATTACACAGGCTTGTTCTAAAGGAGGGAAAAAAAAAAAAAAAAAGGCAACTGAAACCAAGCCGCGGCCCACAAACATCCCTATAGGCTACAAGGAACGAGCTAGTCTGATCTTCAGATTCTAAACCACCAACTTCTCTCTACGCAATGAGATTAAATTTCTTTGGACTTTAGGTAGCTCTTGATACAAACTCTCCATCTTTGAGCAGAAGCTCATCTTCAACACGTCTGTGGCTTCAAGGAGTTTACTTCAGAAATAGTTTCTTTCAGTACAAGAACTAAACTAATCAACATGACAGCAGTCAGTCATTTGCTTGAAGGTTATTGTTCCTTGTTATGCTAAAGCATACAGACACATCAGAAAACCCATGCATGCCCTGAACTGCCTCACCTGAGTAGTTGCTAGTCCATTACTAATGTTGAATCCATTGATTGTTATCTGAATTTGACCACGATTTATCATCTCAATCACAGCTTCTGCAATTGTATTCATAGGAATGACTGGCATACTGAGGGCAGCATTGCTATCTGCATTGTCTCCACTATCAGGACACTTCATCTAAAAAAACAAAACAAAAGTAAAAGTCAGTAAAAGTATTACCTTTACTTCCTAAGACAGAACACACAAAGTAGTAGTTCTCACCTTAACAATTTTGACATCAGGGAGGCTGTCCAGGAAAGCCTTCAAGTCAATGCCATTCAGAACAATTCTGTTATCATAAATATGACCATTGGACTTGAAATCAATAACTGCTTTTTTCTATTGAGAGAGAGGGAGAAAGAGAGAAGTGTCTTTAAAATGTTACAAGTTCCCTTACCAATTACCAAGTGTAATTTTATAAAGATGGCAAGAAAACTAGACATTATTTATTAGCTGCTGTTTTCCACAGCTATCTCTAACCTCCTGCCTACCTTCAGATGGGGGAACATGTTGGCGTGGTCTCCAATAAAGAAAGTGTTTGGCATGTAAGCTAATTTCTCAGAATACTGCTCAGCCACCTCAACCGGGGAAGTTTCTTTATCTGTGATGATATAATCCATGAACAACGCCCCACTGGTTCCAGGGTATCCTAGCCACATTGCCTATAAAACAAAAAGCAAGAATACAGTCTCAGGTGCATCACCAAAATAAAGCAAGTTGAATCAATGCGTATAACTTAGATCTTCCACTCACAGATTCAAGTTCCTTCTTATGCTTTATCAACTGAAGAGCAAGCACTACCCTCAAACTTTCATTACCGAGACAGCGGACAGTTTGGGGATATATTAAAATTGGCCTCTCACACTATGAGGACTTTTGACCGAAGTACCCAATCTGTGCAACTATAAACAGAATATTAACTATCAGTCATTTCAACTTCTCCTAGCCGAGACAAATTCTGTGGCCTAGAGCGAGCCTGATTTAGGCTTCTCCTACTCCATTCCATAGGCACGTTAGAAAATCCTTAGTCAAAATATCTGTTACCTCGATTCCGAACTCTTAACTAGAATTTCGCTAAGCTAAAGAGATTAAAATTCAGCATATCAAGCGACTTCTGCCTTTTTGGAAGCCTGCAGCTAGTCCCCCTAGCCTGTAGCATTGACCCCTCCCCCAGGGGCCAATACTGGGTTCAATCCTGTTCAACTTATTCATCAATGACCCAAATGAAGTTGGCCATAAGACAGCAGTGTGCCTTTGTGGCCAAGAAGGCTAATGCTATCCTGGGCTGCATTAGGAAGAGCGTTGCCAGCAAGCTGAGGAGGTAACCTTCCTCCGCTACTCAGCCCTGGTGAGGCCACACCTGGAGAGCTGTGTCCAGTTCTGGGCTCCCCAATACAAGAGAGACATGGACCTACTGGAACAAGTCCAGCAAAGTGTTACTAAGACGATTAAGGGCCTGGAGCATCTCTCACATGAGGAGAGGCTGAGAGAGCCTGGAGAGGAAGAGACCGAGGGGCGATCTTGTAAACATGTATAAGTATCTGAAGGGAGGGTGTCACGAGAATGGGGCCAGGCTCTTCTAGGAGGAGTGCCCAGCAACTGGACAAGAAGCACGGGGCACAAACTGAAACACAGGAAGTTCCATCTGAACATGAGGAAAAACTTCTCCACTGCGAGGGTGACAGAGCACTGGAACAGGTTGCCCAGAGAGGTTGTGGAGACTCCTTCCTTAGGAGATATTCAAAAGCCACCTGGACACAATCCTGGGCAACGTGCTCTAGGTGACCCTGCTTGAGAAGGGGGGGTCGGACTAGATGATCTCCAGAGGTCCCTTCCAACCTCAACCATTCTGTGCTTCTGTCTGAACTGCTTTAAGTAAAACATTTATTGTTCTCACTCACGCAACAAAGCAGGCAGTGTGCATAGGCCTCAGAATTAAGGAGTTGTTCCCTTTCAGGGCATGGTCAACTACGCATAGAATTAAAAAAAACAAACCAACAAAAAAGGAAGTACTGAGTAGAATAATCCTTTTTGTCTCACACATGCTCATCGTGGAAAAACCTCTCTCCCTTACTGATCAACATGAACCTTCAACTGTCTTTTCACCGTGGCAGAAAGAGTGGAGGCTCTCCACAGAGCTCTTCAACTTCGTTACCTGAATAGGTGCTGGTCTCAAGGCAAATAATTCGTTTCGGGCTCCTTTGGTGTAGCCGTTCATGTTAATGAGAATGTGTATCCCATCCTGGTGGATGCGGTCTGCTGCTTTTCCATTACACGGTATCTGAAGAACAACAACAAAAAAAGATTTTAGGAAGTTATCATTGTTGAAAGACTGAAAACAAAAATAAGATTAGTGATTGGTTCAACAGCATAATTCAATTTAGATAAGACTTAAGTCTTGTCACTCCTAGTTTAATGGATATACAAGTCATCAACTCAAGGTAAAAAACAAAAACAAAAAATACCCCCTCCGTTGAAACAGGAAAAACTTCACTACAGGTAGGTAGTTAGAGCAGACAGTCACCGACAGAAATTGTAACTGTGGTACCTTACGATTGCTTCTGCATATTCAAACCAGAAGACTGGTACTCAATGCTGCCAAGCTCAGCTAAGTCGTGCAGAAAATACCACAAATTGGTAACAGAAGAACCTTCAAACACCGCTGCTTCATTTTTTTGGGCTAAATCAAAGATTCAAAGAGCAGAATTCCACAAAAGGCATTACTAATGCCTTCCAGGAAAGAGAACAGCAAAGCCTCGGAAACTACAACACAAACCTCTTCCCGTCTAATTTCGAAAGGTAAACAAATTTCAGTGGTTTAATTTCCTATAATTAAGTATACAATTAGTGACTATGTAGAAAATTTTTCTGACAGATGTCTCTAGTTTAGCAGCAGCTAAACAAAACTCCATGGCTGGTAACTGGGGCCATATAAACCAGAACAGTCTTTTTGCCCACCCCCCCCCAGGGAGACTAATTAACCTTCAAAACAATTCACCTACAGCAAGTGGTAGGTTTGTAAACTATAGGAACACAGAGAAATCACCTCAAACTGACGAATCAAGAGTACCCAAATCAACTACTCTCCAGCTACTGCTAATACTGTCTCACTCTACAGTTATGGTGCATCACGTAAGTACCTTAGTTTTGTAAAAAGGGAAAGCTATCTCACGTTTTACAGCAGGGTGAAAAAGCATACATACATACAGGCAGCTACCTCCGAGCAGATAAAAAGGAGGAGTTCCCACCTTAGCCTATCTTTCAGTAAGTTACATAGCTAATGCAGTTGCTACAAGGAAAATGTTTCTAATGGTTTGACCCTCCCGTTTCAAGTACAAATCCCCAAGAGTTGCACTAGAGCCTCAAAACGTAAGTTGGTTTCCTCAAGAATTTCAAATCAAAACTCAGTGTATCACGCTGACCAAGGGAAAGAATTCCCCCCCTCTGCAATAGCGATAAGCATGACAGCAAATACGAAATTGCTGCCCAGCATTACTATGATCCAGGGCTTTCAACATCCAGTCCTGCAAAGGGGGAAGAGAAAAAAGTTTTTCCCACAAGCACAGCTGAAGTTCATTCTCTCCCAATGTTTTAAAAGCTCAACTTTACCAAAATCATCCCAAAGAAGAACAGTTCTGCTGACATCAATATGGCATCTTAACTTACGAGAGCAGATCCTGGACTACACAAGAAGTTTAACAACTAAGCGCAAGTTTAGTTGCCAGGTATCCATCACCTAATTCTGAGACCGTCCAAGAGCCAATCCAGTTCCGTTACTGAAATACACTGATTATCCCATATTGCTTTAGGGTCTTGCCAGTTGAAACACTGTAACAACTCCTTGATTTTTGCATGTACCGAAATCCTAACCAGATATTTTGTACGTTCTTTGTGAAAAGTAACTGAAAAATGTTACTTTAAATAGGTGCACAGAATTCCTCCATCCAGCCTCTGAACTGCTGCTTCACGGGGGTAAAGCAAGCTGGACAAGCTTAAATGTATTTGCAGTTGTGGCATTTAACTTATTTGTGACATTCAGATATGACTGTTATCTTAATACCTCATGAAACAGTTATTCAGCATTGTTAAAATTGCTTTTTAATAACCACACAGAGATGACATAATAGTCACTGTATCCCAGGATGGGCATAACACTAACACACAATCTTCAAACCCCAAAATTCAAGACCAGTCTCAGCCTGATTCAATAAATCATTGCAACTAAAATGTTAAAGCATAGGGTGAAATTTCCGTTTCATTTTGGTTTTCTAAAAAGCCATTGCATTAAAAAAGCTCACCTGAGATAAGTCAATGAAATGATTTGCTTCAGCCATCACTTTTACACGGAAGTTAGTACCGTCATCAGGACTCAGGGCATAACAGAATACCTAGAAGAAGCAGCACAAGTCAGATATTTGTGACACCTCACCAACAAAACACCTTTGTGAGAAATGCATTTTTAAATTACAACACCATATATTGGTAAAATTGCATCTAGTTTCGGGAAACTGTATTTTATTTACTGATGTAGCATTTATCAGTTGAGAAGGAAGTTTAAAAAAAAGCGTTGGCGGCAGGAGACATTCAAATCGGGCCCTAGTTTTATCTAGTTCTGGTACTAGTGCAAGGCACTGCATTTTGCCTAGACATATGTACCAGGTTCCCACCAGCGCAAGGTTAAGTAACTTTAATAAAGAGGACTGCATAAACATTACATTCTCAAAGAACATTTTGTACAAGACAATTTTGAATCGGTACTAAATGAGAATCATAATTATGACTCGGCTTGAACAGGCAAGTCAAGTCTTGAGGAAGCTTTTCAAATAGATTCTTTAAACCGAGTGACTAGTTCTACAAGAGCGAGCACCTTCCTCTCCAGTTAAGAAACTGGAAATGCATCCACTCTATGTAACCAAAGGTTGACAAGCTATGCACCAGTTCAGCAGCTTTGTGAAAAATAACTGTTTAATAGCGACCCTTCTGATAACAGCTGAAGCATGCAGCTTTGCCACAAGGATTTTGCACTACAAAGACTTCATAAACAAGAGAACACATGGAGGGCGGGGGCAGCGGTGGTAATCAACGACAAAACACTTTGGATGAAGGGAAAACTTCTAACCCTTTACAAAAGGTAAGCAGCTTCCCCTTTTGCAAAACAGGAGCTTGAAACAAAGAGACAATTCACACAGTCATGGAGCAAATGACTGGGAATGAAATCTAGTTACAGCTTCATCCCCCTAATGTAACCCTGAAATAAACATAAACTTGACTCTCTTTAGCCATGAGTCTCTTTAGACTCTCTGAATTACAAAACACTCTTCCTGGAGAGGAAAAGTAGTAGTCAGACCAATCTGCAGCTCACGTTCATAACAGATTCAGGTATTCCAGAGAACAGTACATCTAAAAAAACAACAGTGGAGAGTGAACACAAAGCGAACGTGCAGCTATAAATAAGACGTAACCAGGTAGTAGCCCTGGTTGAAACACATCATCTAGCCAAACAACAGTGACTGAACCTAAATACAACAACAAAAACCCAAGACCTTATAGTTTTCCATGGGTCACAAGCCCTTCCTACAATAATTCCAAGGAGAGATACCTGACTTTCCTACTTTCTAAATACTACTTCATATTGGTTTAAAAAAAAAAAAAAAGAAAAAAAAGAAAAAAAAAAAGAGTACTCCTTAGGACATTTAACTCTTTGTCCTGCTTAAAAAAAAAAAAAAAAAAAGGAAGGAAAATAAAACTTCACTAACCAAAAACCACCAGAAAAAGTATGTCCTTCCTCATTTTTACCTGCCTGCACCACGAAAGCAGAAAGTGCCTGCTAAAGCTGTATTTAAAGTTTCAGCATGCCGTTCATATTTTTACCTCAAATTTGTCTGGGTTATGCATTCCTGGGATTGACTGCATTAGGTGGGAGGTTGGATGGTTTCCAAAATCAGAGCTCACATAGCCAATACGAAGTCGACCTTCACTGGCCTTCAAATCCTTTGGATGCTCATATGGTGGCTTGTGAAGAACGTTAATCTGTTAAGAAGACACGCCACTCTTTAGAAACCCGTACACCAAAATAAATGCTGAATAGAGGGCCAAAACGATCACGAGTTCGTTGGATTAGTCTCACCCCACACTCAAGCAAGCTGTGCCATCAGTTGTTTGAAACTTGCAATATGTACATTCGACCGCAGACAAATGCAATTTCCACAAGCCATACTGCCAGATGCCACGTGCCCACATTTGGCCAAAAAAGGCAGACATCACTACTGAAAGTTGGTGACGTTTCTGCTTTTCTACCACTTCATTTTTTGAAGAAGTCTATACTCAATTGTTAAATATAATATCACATCACTATGATCAGGAAGTTCTTGAACGACGAGCTACTTACGACCAGACCAGCATTCCTGTGAAGCTTCACAGGCATGCTTTCTGCTCTTACGCCCACTATCTTCCATAGGCATCAGTTTTAGCCACTACCACCAACAGGATTATCAGACTATACAAACCTTTACCTCGAGGCAGCTTGAAAACTGCACATTATCAATTCTGAAGTTTGAGATTTGTACGCTTCATCACTCATGCTAACCAGACCCTTCCGCTAGCTGTCAGGGACTTTTCAGTTATAACTGACAACCAGCTCAAGTAGCCTATAAACACACACTGGCTCCAACAGATACGATCCTCTGGCTGAAGAAAGAAATTCACGTCAAATTTTTCAATCAGAGGATTCACTATCAACTCCAAAAGGACTCCTGGCAGCTTGAAGTGCTTTGACGTCTTGTAGAAATAACACAGTTAAGAAATCATGGCAAAAAAAAAAAAAAAAAAAGATCGCGTTTAAGTTAAACGCATCAACTTTTGGAAGAACCTATGCTACTCTACACAAAGCTCTGCAAAACAGAATCACAACAAAAAGTTAAATACTTCCTGTGGCTGCCTAAATCTTTGTTAATGTTAGGGGAATAGTCACTTATTCACTCTGGGCTTCTCCAAAACACCCCTCGAATGTAATTTGCAGAGCTAGATGAGTAAACACTATGCCTTAGCTCTCTACACGTTCCATGACTCAGAAGCCTTAAGAGAGGCTAATATTATGTTTAAAAAAATACAATCTGTTACTCAGATATAATTAAATTGGCAAAAGAACCTAAAGGAATTTAATCACAGTAAGCAGGTATACAACCTCCTACCTTGTCCAAGCAGAGATTTCCATGTCTCTCAGCAATAGCCTTCCTGAAACTGTGAGAAAGGGGATATAGCATACTATGATGAGGGTGGACAGAAGGCAGCCTGTTTTTTTCCAGCTGATCAGCTACAATGCTAACTAGCTTCTTCATTCTTTCGTCATAATCCGTCCAGTCACAGACAATCTAGAAAAAGGAAAAACGGAAAATAATCCGATTCCAAGAAGCTGTGACCAGCATTTCTTCTGAAAACGGCAGCAAGAACTTCAGTAATTACTGTGATGACTAAAATTTTACCTTCTGATTTAAGCCTACTCTTAAGTTTACTTCAACCAATCAGTACATAAGCAATCAAGCATAGTTGCTGCAGAAGAGTCTTAAAGAACTACAATCAAAGCCCTCTTTTCCTCACCTGTAAGCAGTGGGCCAAGTTGCAGTAGGCATCTGGGAAGTCAGGTTTCAGTTTCAGAGCAGTGCGGTAAGAGGCAATGGCTTCTGGTATATTCCCTGAATCCTGTAGAGACACAGGAATGATTCAGCAGATAAAAATATATTCTGGGTAAGTACTCACAGTGTCCCATCATATAATAAGAGTGAATCATTCGCATGTGCTACCTTGTGAATAGAGGCCAGGTTGCTGTGGGCATCAGCAAAAGCTGGATTTATCTGAATGGCACGAGTGTAGCACTGTAAAGCTCCTTGAACATCCTGCATTTCCTTCAAAGTATTTCCCATATTGGAATAAGCATCTGCAAATGTGGGACTGATTCTGAAAACCAAGATAACATAGGCCACGAACAATAAGAGATGCTTCTTCAATAAGAAACCATACCCAGACTACCGTCTGGTTTGCAAAGCAACTATCTGAATTACAATATGTTATCATAAGCCACTTTCTGTACAGATCTATGGCACTTTCCTGTTAGGGAACATGAAGAATATTAGAAATCGAATCCATTTACCTAATAGCCTCTTTGTAATGCATCAGAGCTTCCTGTAACTTTCCTTGCTGCTGCAGAACGCTTGCTAAATTTGAATGGGCAGCAGCAAACTCTGGAAACACCTGGAAGGGGAAAAAAAGCAGAATCTCTCTCTCCAATCCCCTAGGCATACTATATTACAAGATATTGTTGCATTTCTTACCCTCCTTCTTATATGACTCAGCAGAGTTTCTTCCCCTTACAGCCAAAGAGGCAAAAAGCCTATGCCGTATTACATATTCTCAGCTTTAATTCCCCACCTCTCCCCTACCACATTCAACTATACCTCAAGAGCTTTCCGATAAAGGCGAACAGCTTCCTCAATGTTCCCCTGTTCCCGTTTGATGTTTGCGAGATTATTGAGAGAGTCTGCATGTGTAGGACAGAGTCGAAGAGCTGTATTGTAACACTCTTCTGCTTCAGCCACCTTTAAGAAAAAAACGGAGTAAAATAAACAAGGGGACTGCTTAATACGGTAGCATTTCCTGTAAAATCACTTCTTACGAGAAGTTATTCTACAAACATTTTAACGGGTTCAAAGAGAACATGTCCCATATTATTCAACCTGATGAAAAAGAAAAACAAATTGAGATGGCATTCCATTTTAATAAAGCGGACTAATAATTGGTGTCTAAAATAACTATTAACTGAACTTTTAAAAATTCAGACAAAGGAAAAAAGCATTCCTTACACTGCCTTTCTCCTTCAAGGCATTGGCCAAGTTACAATAGGCATCAGGAAAGTGGGGTTGCAGTTCAATAGCCCTCCTGTAGGTGTCTATTGCCAGGTCTATCAGTCCTTGCTCATAATACACACAGGCAAGGTTACCATGCACAACTGCATGATTTGGACTCAAACTCAAGGCTCGTAGGTAAGCTGCTACAGCTCTGTAACAAGAAAGAGAAGGTTAATGATCACCTGTGGCGTTACCCTGCACATTTACCTTATTTACCTTGATCACCAAGAGACCTACATAAAGGG